AAATAGTTATTTTTGTAAACACTGTTGCGTTAATCCAATGTAATCGCAAAACATTTTCCGATGACGTCATCAATAATATCGACATTGACATTAAAGTCTATAAATCTGACTAAATGAAATTTTGGCAAAAATGTTTAAATTTGTTGTATAGTTTAAGATACCGAGCAGCTCTTCATTTTACTTTATAGAGCAAATGATTGTAACATATTTTATTTAGATTAAAGCTGCAAAAATTAGTTTAAACCGAATTTTATTATCGCTATGTTGGTCACATTGTTCCGTGTTCAGCAATGTTGTCCTTTATTATTTAACAATTATCCTAATGTCAATCATTATTTTGTATCATATCGTGTTGTTGAATCTTTATGAGCAATTCTTGTTTTTTGCCTATTTTCGCAGTCTTTTTTTAAAAATTGCACTTTTAAGCACAAACAGTTCTTTTAAGAACTAAATTTTCGAGTTTTTGTATTGCATTTCTTGAAATTGTGTGTTGAAAATATGCCGAAGCATTTAAACAGTCGAAGCAAAGAGCTTGTAACTTCCCTGAAACAATTTGAACGAGAACGTGACAATAAAGGTCCTTTATTATTACCCTTGACTGCAGTCAGAGAAGTAAGTTTGATAGATAAGCACATTATACCACTTTCAAAGTTAGTTTTTATTAAATTCTGTGATTATTAGTTTATGCATTAATAGAACCCTCTTACTTGTTATTACCGCACTTATGGCGTTGTAATAATCTAAGAGAGCTGACTACATAAAAAACCTTATCATCGTTACATGGCTAATTTTTTGTGTGAAGTATCCTTTTGTGCAGCCATTATGAAATAGTCATGTCTGCCAGCGCGATCCCGGGGCTTAAAGCGGGGGCGGCCAATCGAAAGGGTGAAATTTTGACACTAAAAATATTATAAGATACATGAGTTATAATTGCGAAAATAGCTTTTATTTATTATTAAGAAACGTGGAAAATTGTTGGCAGACATTTTTCTAGTCACTAAAATGCCGACAGACAACGCGAAAGAGGCATGGAATTTTAAAAATTATTAAAAAATGAAATTTGAAGAATGAAAAAAATTATGGCATATTTGCATGCCGATTGGTGAAATGTTATATTTACTTATTTTAAAAGCCGTATGCCAAAGGGCAGACAAAAAGATCGTGGCTCAATCAGCTGCAAACAGTTATCAAAAGCGCCATATTACTCTAGCGCTTTATTCAGGGAACGCTGGCCGCCTCATCCGTTTAAGTATAAATAAATCATATAATATACGATTATATTATAAATATATTTTTTTATTATTTCAATAACGATTTTTTTGTCTGCCTTTTGCATACGGCTTTTTAAATTAATTAACAATAAACATGACATTCCACCAACCGACATGCATGTATACGATGATTTTCTTTTGTCAAAAATATATGCCTCTTTCGCGTTGTCTGTCGGCATTTCAGCCACGAGAAAAATGTCTGTCAACAATTTTACACGTTTCCTAATAATAAATAAAAGCTATTTGGCAATTATAACTCGCGTACCTAATAATATTTTTAGTGTCAAAATTTCTCCGTTTCGATTGGCCGCCCCCGCTTTAAGCCCCGGGATCGCGCTGGCAGACATGACTATTTCGCAATGGCTACACAAAAGGATACTTCACACAAAAAATTAGCCATGTAACTGATAAGGTTTTTTATGTAGCCAGCTCTCGGTCTATAACGGCACCGGAAATTTCATAAGTGTATCATTGATTGATAAAACAAATTGTTTAATAACTCGGCTAAAATTTAATATTTACTATTTTTTGATGTTTCAAAGTCCATTTAAAAGAGTGAATCAACAGCTATCACATTTTGGAACTTGTTTGAATTTTGTCATGTTTTATGATAATAAAAGAACCCGGCAAACAAACATTCCTTAACCCAAAAATTTTCAGATTATCAATCAAGAAAAACAGGGTCGAAACCAAACCAATCAAAACTCATTGGTACAACTAAATATACCAGCAAAATTTCATGGTGCGCGGGGAAGAATAGAAAAATCGGTTTCAATAGGTTGTAAGAAATACTTGTGCGATATTTGTTACGTTCCTGTTAACTTTGCTAAGTCTGTAATTCAAAGTAAAATTTAATAGGTGTTCTATGGAAGGCGCAGGTATTTCATGAAATGACTAGGTAAAGTATGTACAGGGTGGACCATTTTGGTTGTTTCTATAGGGTATCTAGAAAACCGTGAGAAATATTCAAATTTTGATACTGCAGTCTCGGGTTCTTTTTTTGAAAAAATCACAATGGCGCAAACGGATCGTGGCTATCTTGATCGGTTTCGAAACTACAGGGGGATTCTCAAATTTTGTACTTTTTGAAGATGGTCGATAGTTTGTTTATTTCAGCAACTACGCAAAAATGAATTAAACATTCTAAAGGCACTTTTCTGTGTAGAATGCAGTGGAGTAGTCAGACTTTTTTCGAGAAAAATATTTTTTTAGATATTAACTATACTTTTGTTTTTTTAAATAGAACCCCCTGTATATTTTTAAATTTCCTGATTCAGCTTGGCATAGGCTTCTCGAAAATATATAACAGATTTATTTTCACTATTAACTTTAATATTCCAATTTATTTAAAGATATCGATTTTCCTCTTGGTAGGTCATCCAAGTATTAAAGGAAACAATCGAATATCTACTTTCAAATTAATCCATGTATAGTAATTAATTAATAAAATAATAAAATTAAAATAAAAACAATACGAAGCAAATAAAAAGTGTGACAGAAACAAAAGAACATATTTTAATATAACCTCAACAGGTTATTTCAATCGGGCTTCTCAGTTAACATAAAAAAATAAAAACACAATGACTACATTAAATGTTCAAACTTAATATTTAATATATTGATTTTCTTCATCTTCTTTCTGATAATTTCTCGGACGCGGTTTTTGAAAAGATCCAAAATTTGATTAAACTATCTTCTAACCTTTTAAAAATGGCTGGGTTTGGTTGCTCGTGCTCAGGATACCGGTCACAATATAAATCAGCTGCCATTTGATTATGTTTGTTAGACTCAATATAACTTTCTAACATATTATGTTTCTCAAAATTTTCAAATTTACTCATTTTTTATTTTTTAAAATACACACATTTCAATCTGTTGAAATGAAATGTCACGCATCCAATCAAAGGTATGTTCCGATCATCATAACAGCCGTTTACTTTGTTACTCGGCGCGGCCTACTACTAACTGGATATTTAAAAAAAATTAAATGTTGAGGTTAATAGTGAAAATAAATATAGAGTGTTATATATTTTCGAGAAGTCCATGGCAAGCTAAATCAGAAAATTTAAAAATATACAGGGGGTTCTGTTTAAAAAAACATAAGTATAATTTTAAATAGATTTCCAAAAAAGTCTGACTACGCCACTGCATTCTACACAGAAAAGTGCCTTTAGAATGTATAATTCATTTTTCCGTCGTTGCTGAAATAACCAAACTATCAAACATTTTCAAAAAGTACAAAATTTGAGAAGTAGTAGCTGTACCCTGTAGCTTCGAAGCCGATCAAGATAGCCACGATCCGTTTGCGCCATAATAATTTTTTCAAAAAAAGAACCCGAGACTGCAGTATCAAAATTTGAATATTTCTAACGGTTTCCTAGATACCCTATAGAAACAACCAAAATAGTCCACTCTGTACATAAAAACATTTAAATTTCATACATAAAATACTGAAATGGTTAGTCACTTTATAGAATACCTAGGTTTTATACAGCCGCCTTATTGATATACTTTGCCGGTAACATATATAGGGTGTTTCAAAAAACATGTGCCATCTCTCGTAGACAGATTCTACACGTAAAAATTAGATTTACTTTTCATATCAACATAGGTCCAATTCTGCTTTGTTTCGTAGCTACAGAGTGTTAAAATCTTAATATATTTTCGATTTGATATAATTTTCTTTAAGTACTTTTAGCGCTTCGAATGAAATTTTGAAGGTAAAAGTTACTATAAATGTCTTAAAGCTAAAAAAGTGTCAACATATTCACCAGAGACGTGCATGTCACCAGGGATGTGCATGTGCGTTGTCACAGGAATATTTTTCTGAAAAAAGCATGCACGCCACACCCTTTCTTCTGTTGTTAACTAAATAATGTAAGCAGTTTAATGCCGATTAAGTGTTGATCGAAAAGTCTAATAGCAACCTTTAAAAAAAGTTAATACCATTAACTTGCGAAAGTTTTAAATAAGTACTCATTGATTCCTCATAAAAAAATATGAAAAAAAATCCTATAAACATGGGTATGGAAATGCATAGTTTTAGAATTACAGGATGTTAAAACTTTTTAAAATTAGTTTTTCTGTAATAATTATCTTAAATACCATTATTTTTTTTTATTTGAAATGGCTGTAGGTTTGACTATTAGTAAAAATATTATCATAAAATGTTATCATAAATTAGACAAAATATATAATTTAATAATTTTATTTTAATTTTATTAATTGTGATTAATAAAATTGCGTCTATATCACCAAGGATGCCGAATTCGACAAAATATCAAGAGATAACTTTTAATTGGCATTAAACGGCCTACATAATTTTGATATCAAAAGAAAACAAGTCAATGGCGCACATGTTTTTCCTGAAAAATATTCCAGTGATAACCCTAAAATAATTAATTAAATTTAGTTTAATTAATTAAATTTGATTTAATTAACTTTTTTAACATTAAAATATGTACCTAACACTTATAGTAACTTTTACCCTGAAAATTTCATTAGAATCACTAAAAGTTTCAAAATACTTTTAGTGAAAGATTATTAAGACTTTAACACCCTGTAGCTATGAAACCAAGCAGAATCGGACCTATGTTGATATGGAAAATAAATTTTATTTTTACGTGGGGAATCTCCCCACCAGAGATGGCACATGTTTTTTGAAACACCCTGTATAAATAAAACACATACGGTAAAATGAAATATATATATATATATTTTACATTCGATATATTATATAAGTAGATGAAAATGACAAAATGTAGACTTACAAGTTGATAAATAACATGTTAGCTTTTATTGTTTTTAAAATATAAAAACGACAGCTCGTATAATTTTGGATCAGAGTTATAACACGTTAAGACAACGTCTTTAAACCAGTGACAAAGATGTTTCAGTTTGGAGCGATTCGTCACGGCTATAAACGCTCCCTTTTCCATGGAATGTTGATGGGAGTCAAACAAAGTCACCTAAAAATATTCATAAATTACTAAAAATATCGTACCTCGTAAACTTCGGCAGCATATTCTGCACATAAAAATAAGTAAAAAAGTTCGTCTAAATGTATGTCCTAAAATGCTTAGTTTCGGAGATACATAGGTATGTGTGTAGAAGCTTCATTTATATTTCGATTTTTTCCAAATAATATCAGAACTAACGTCAATATTTGATGGAAAATTGGCGGCTGGGAGTTTCTTGACACGAGAAATTTGATTTTGATGTCAATATGACTCCGACTTGTAGAGGTCGCCACCTACATATTTTAAACTCAAGTTGTTTGAAAAGTAATAACTTTTCGTCCGTACCTGTATAAAACTACTGAATAAAAAAATATACATTTACAAAGTTTTTTTGCGTAAAAAAAGATCTCTTGGTAAAAATCGTTGAAATGGTTTTCGAGATATTTGGAATTGAAATTATCAATACCCTGTCATTATTGACATAAATTAAACATGTTGACTAAATAGTTATTAAACTGAAATCGTAAATTTGAAATGTTTTTGTGTCGAAAGTTCAACAGTAACTGTTTTATCACCATTTTTTCGAAGAAAAATTTATGATTAATTTAAAAAAATTATAAGTTCTCAAATTTATCATTTCTCAACATGTTTATTTTTTGTCAATAATGACATGTATTGACTGTTTCCATTTTAAATATCTTGAGAACGGTTGCGCCTGGCGATTTTTACCAAGAGACATTTTTTACGTAAAAAATCACGGAAATATATATTTTTTCACTCAGTAGTTTTATACAGACACGGACGAAAAGTTATTACTCTTCAAGCCAGTGAAAAAATATGTAGGTGGCGCCCTCTACAAGTAGTAGTCATATTCACATCAAAATCAAATTTCTTATGTAAAAAAACTCCCAGAAACCAATTTTTATTGAAATATTGGTGTTACTTCAGAAATTATATAGAAAAAATCGAAAAAAAAATGAAACTTCTACACCCTGTATCTCCGAAAGTAAGCATTTTAGAACATACATTTATACGAACTTTTTTACTTATTTTTATCTGCAGAATATGCTGGCAAAGTTTTCGACAAAGTTCGATACAGTTCGGATTACCCTGTATATTTGAAATTGACAGAAAAAGATTTTTAAAACAAACATTTAAAATGTACAAGGTGTTACCATACATTAAAAAAGTGAAGTTAATTCTTTTTAACTTTTTGATCGTTTTTTGTTTATTTTTAATTCCCTTTGTGTCGGTTCAGGTAAAGTCTTACTGCAATAGGCAAGACTTACTGTCTGGGTTCTATGTTGAAACAGAAACAGGACTGTCCTTGAATCCGCTATGAGAATGACATACAGATCTCTGTCAGGTTTATTGTTTATCTTGAGCCATTCAAGATAATGCACTTTTATATTTTCACATAGGGACCTGGATAATCGTTGCATATAGATTGAACTTCTCTGAAACAAAATGAGAAATGTTTATTGCCACCTATATCTACTTATACTACCTATACATATTACAGGCCATGTATATGTTCACCGCAATATTAGTAAGTCTTTCCTTATAAACATAATAATACCTAATATAAAATATAACTATAGGCTTGGTGCATTTCAACCGATTTCTTAAATTCCGACGGTAGCGCTCGGTACGACCGAAATCAGAACTGTCCGACTAACTGTATTTCACGCCGTCCGCGTCCCGGTTATTGTTGGTGCTGATCAGCTGATCACATTGAAATAATATTGAAATCGTGGCTAGGTCGTAATATTTAAGTATTTTGGTTTTTACTAGTACTGTTATCGAAACTATAAAATTCTCAGGTAAGAAATGTGTATGATGTAACACTGTTTTTGGGTAGTTACATTTCCTAGTAACTTTACTCCTTGACAAATCCTTTGTTATTTTCCTGACACTTTATATGACCTTGTTCTCGCGTCCCGTGACCACTGACGTAGCTGTATAGTCGTGTTCTAAAACTAGGCAAAGTATAGTCGTAGCACTCGCTATAGTTTCACAGAGATGTATTTAGGGAAATATAAGTTCACAATAAAATAAAATAAAAAAAATTGATCATCGAGTAAAAGTTTGCTTAAAAACAGAATATTTTCACATTTCGTGTAAGTAACAATTTTTCTGTATCTGAAACACAATTTTTTGAATTATTACTACAACCAATAGCAGCACACAGTAAGGCCAGAGTAAGGTAAGGCGCTCATTCTTTGTCAAACCGTCTCTGTGCTGGGACGCAACGCTCGAACCTCGCAGGTCGACGGACGGAACTCAACTGAAACGCTCTGCAATCTGCCGATATTCGACAGATTGTAAAAACTAACAGAAAATATTTGGGAGAGTGCAACTACTCTTTTCCTTCTGCTATGGTCACATCATACAAAGGGCGTTGCGTTGAGTTAGTCGCGTTATGTCAATTTCAAATCATAATAAAATTGCCGAAAAACTGCAATAACAATAACACTAAATACAACTCTCCTGGAACAACATTTTACAGTTTCTCAGCTTTATCCCACAGATTTTATCAAAAGCAAAAATGAATTAAGGCAGTTTGACGAAACAAGTGAGTAAACAAAGTGGCCATTTCATAATTAAAAAAGTAAATAAGCATATATTTGAGGATAAAATATAATTTGATCAATATTAATGGTATACTTCTTTTTAATCAACTAGTGTTAATTTTATGAACGTCTTCTACAATTATAATTATATACCTTTAAAAACATTCGTAACAAACCACAATATAAACTCAGTTATGTCCCAACTAGCAAAGCCGTATTAGTATACTAGCAATATGCTAGCAGTAAATGTGCGCTATTTAATCTCGTGTATTTGTATAAGTCGGTATTTTAAGGAATTCCGCTATAGTGTTAGCACCGTCGGAGAAGGCCACAAGCCTATACAAAATTATATTTAAACATAAAAAATTAGAATTAAATTTTTACCCACTCAACCAAATTAAAAGTTTGGTCTTCTGTATATTTAAGTGCCTCTGGAACATTGAGATTTAAGTGTTTCAGTAATTTCTTCACCTTCAGTTCTTCATGAATCTTATTTCCTTCTAACATACTGGTAGCCAATAGGTAGATCAGTTTTTTGTTAGTCCCACATTCTGGTTCATTGATCTGAAAAAAAAATGAAATTTTAGAAGGCTTTAAATAGTGCAATTAAAAATATGCACTGTCGAACATAAAATTGGGGTCACCAAGTAATTTGCATTTATTTTAGAATTGAAATGGTCCATTTAGAAGAAATTACGTGCGCATCTCTGGGACAACGTGGAAAAACCTCAATATAATCAAAAGCATTTTCTGGGTTGGGAAAGAAGTTTCCAGAAATATATTCTGTAGTATACATACATATGGTCATGTCATTCTATTCAAAATGTCATTTTCTATCGAATAAAGTAAAAAAATACCGTGGGTGCCATTTAAAAATCAAAAGTTGTAGTCATTTCCGGTGAAACAGGAAATGACCAAAAACAATTGAATACGTCAATCAATCCTAATTTATGTCATATATTAACATACCAAACCTCGATTTTTTATCTGAAAAAATAAAATAGTTATAGGGGTGAGCCACTTTTGAAATGCACCCGGTATGCGTGCTCAAATAAGCACGCGATATAATAAATTATATATTGTATTCTTAGTGCAGAAAAATTAAATTATAGGTTTTGTATAATTACAAATGATTGTTAAACATAAAGGAAAATAATTATAGTATTTAAATTAATGCTCAATTTATAACGTGTCATTGTAATGATGATATTTTCTATCAATATATCTGTAGACCCAATTATCTTACATTCAAATATTGTCTATACCTTTGTGACCGGGTTCATTTCTCCAAATAACCATATATGTTGTATCGTGGACTGAGGTCGGCCTATACATTTAGTGTACAGGGTGGCTCGAATTCGACGCTCATCATTGGGATTTCGGAAACCGTAAGAGATACAGGATCGGTTAGATGGAGGCAAAGTTGCGCAATTTGATGCTCAATAAAATGCCGTATTGCATTTTGAAAAATTTTGAATACTTCCGAATATATTCGAAAAAAAAAACGGAATTTTCAATTTAGTTTTTTATTGTTTCCTGGCTTTATTTGTTAAGATAACTTAAAATGAAAAACACTTTTTTATTGCCACTTTTTCTGCTCTATAACACTATAAGTGATTAAATATTGACTCTGACGTTTCGGCTTCTGGCGACCATCATCAACTTAATTTTTTTAAATACGGACCTGATTTTTTTTGAATTTAATTAAATCCTTTCATCACTCCTAAACACTATATACAGGGTGCTACAAATACGAGGTACGAGTATTGGTATCTCGAAAACCGAAATAGATACGAAGATGGTTAAATTGGGGCAAAGTTGCATCTTGGGATATTCACCAAGATGCTATCAAAAATGTTTTAAAAATTTCAAGGATTGGTGAGTTTTTTGGAAAAAACGGATTTTTTTGAATATCAATTTTATTTTTTCCTGCCGTTATTTTTTAGAAAATCAAAAAATGAATTGCACATTCTCATAGCCACTCTATTAGGACTATCTGATAGTACTTTTAGATTTTCAAATTAGCTGATAATTTGTGAGATACAGAGGCTAACTTAATTTTTTTAAATACGGACCTGCATTTTTTAATTCAGATTTTGAAAGAACTCGGTCTCCTGAGTACAATAATATGACGCACTTTATACTTTTTTTTTTGTTTTGGGTACCTTAACAACAACAAAACTATTTCATTATTATTTAAAATAATTTCAAGTCCGACTCTGGTTTTTTAAATTATTTAATTTGATTATATTCATCGCAACAATATTGATCAGCGCTAATTAGCATTGAATAAGGTCATTAAAATAATCCAGGTCAGCAATTTAAAGATATTATTTTTAACTTTTTTTATTGTGAATTTGAAATCTCAGTGTTACGACCTAATAATATGCATAATATTCGTGGTTATTATAAATAAATCAACTTCTAACAAACTACTTTCTAATGCTTTACATGTTTGAAAGGGTTACCACCCTTCCTATTGCACAAATTTATTATTCGTTCAGTTTTATTTATAGCTCTTTGAACATATCTTCTTGATATACTTCCGAATGCATTTTGTTCTTTATACTTTATTGTAAATGTTGAAAAATATTAATTTGATTTGGTTTGAATTTTTAAAATTTTTGTTGAATTTGATTTTCCGTATTCAATGTTTTACCCCACGTCATTGTTAAGTTTGAAGGTTTATCAATATTGTAACGATTAATATATATTTAAAAAAAACAGAGCCAGACTTGAAATTAGTTTAAATAAATTGTGTTCAAATGTCCGAAACAAAAAAAAAGTATAAAGTGTGGCATATCATTGTACTCAGGAGACCGAGTTCTTTGAAAAACTGAAATAAAAAATGCAGGTCCGTATTTAAAAAAAAATAAGTCGGCCTCTGTATCTCACAAACTATCAGCTAATTTGAAAATCTAAAAATACCATCAGATAGTCCTAATAAAGTGGCTATGAGAATGTGTAATTAGTTTTTTGATTTTCGATAAAGTAACGACAGGAAAAAATAAAATTGATTTTCAAAAAAATCAGTTTTTTCCAAAAAACTCAGCAATCCTTGAAATTTTTGAAAGTTTTTTGATGGCATCTTGGCGAACATCCCAAGGCGCAACTTTGCCCCAATTTAACCATCCTCGTATCTATTACGGTTTCCGAGATACCAATGCTCGTACCTCGAATTTCTAGCACCCTGTATAGTCACTTTGATATTTGCCGATGTTTCATACAGAAAATTCCATCACCAGAATATTTTATGCAAAAAAATAAAAAATAATACAGCATTTCATTGAGCAATACGGCATTTTATTGAGCATCAAATTGCGCAACTTTGCCTCCATTTAACCGATCCTGTATCTCTTACGGTTTCCGAAATCCCAATGATGAGCGTCGAATTCGAGCCACCCTGTGCAGGCACCAGTGCTATCACAAATCGTTTAAAAAACGATTTAAATCAAAGATCAAAAATACATTTAATTTGGACAAATGACTTAAATCAAAGATACTTTTGTCAATAAGAAAATATTTAGAATGAAAATCTTTTTTAGATTTAGATCTTTTTTTGTGATTTAGATCTTTTTAGAAAGTATTTAAGATATTTTATGTTTTTAATGTATTTAAATCATCAAGATTTTTGGGTTGTATTATTATTATTTCTCTTTTATTGAAGTTCAAAACAGCATAGTTGGATTCTTTGGAATAATGATCAAGGTTTTTTTTGCCATGCTCTTTTACTTGTGAATTCCAGGCAGAGTACGGCACTCCTTTCATTTTATTTAATAAAATAAGTAGGGCTATTGACAAATTTAGCGTTTGATTTACATAACATATTCTCCTCAAATTTCCCAAAATATTGCTTCTGTTGCATGTCGGGCCCATTCGAGCAATGCCGTCTCTAATAGAACAGCCTTGGGGAGAGATTTATGATGTGACGCTAGTTAGATACTACCGATTAAATTACGGATAATTAAATATGTTGTAGAATACATGGAAAACATAATTATTCCTCAGATTTTTGGTTTGTATTTTAAAAATGAGATAATTTACATGAAATATACATAATATTCAATTAATAACTACAACATATACACCTATTTATAGTAATAAATACTTTGGCAAATAAACTATGAACCGTACAAATGCAGCAAATGTTTTACAATGTACAAATAATGTATAGGTACATAAGATAATGGGTAAAATGTAAAGATATTTTAAATTTTGATGTATTATTATTTGCATTCACAAAATTTATATGTATATTTTGCAAGTATCAATGTTCGAAAAATTATATTTACAAATAATACAATATTATCTAAAAAAAGGCGTCAGCGATGGCTATGAAATGAAGATCGCTGGCATTTTATATGTAAAATTATTCTAAAATTTTTGATTTTCTTGGGATTTTTAGGTTCGGGAAAAACGCTGATTTAAGTTTTCATTTGGGTTTTCATTATTTTTATTTGGTTTAAAAAAACGTTTCGGCTAACTATAGCCTTCATCAGTGTTGTTTCATATGAGAAAAATAGTGTCGAATATAATCCAAAAAATTACATATACAAAATAAGTCACACCTCATAATATTTACTGCAATTAATAAACTAATATAAACTTATCAAAAGATGACCACATATTTTTTAAAATTATTATTCTTAACACTAAAATTATCTACATTGACTATGGAGTACGCAGTAAACATTATGTGCGTGGTGTGAATATTTTATATGCAATTTTTTGGATTATATATTCGACACTATTTTTTTCATATGACACAACACTGATGAAGGCTATAATGTTAGCCGAAACGTTTTTTTTTTTTAAACCAAATAAAAATAATGAAAAACCAAATGAAAACTTAATCAGCGTTTTTCCCGAACCTAAATCCCAAGAAAATCAAAAAATTTAGAATATTTAGAAACAAGGTTCAAGAATATCCAATTTTCCAAGATTGTAAAATTCTAGTTAATTATTTTATGTGTACAGTTATTTAGGGAATGTCATCGATGTTCATTTCCAAGCCAACTAGACGCCGATTTTTTTCGATGATACGGTATAATTCTTACGTAAAATGTAAATAACATTAGACCAATTAAAACAAAGAAATATGAATTTCTTAGTATTTTTAGTAACACCTTTATTCTTAAAACTTAATTTTGTATTATGCAAATATACAAATTTTATTGTTATTTTATTCATATTGTATTCAGTCATCACTTAAATATTTGATATTAATTTGGTATTATAAATAATCAACACTATTCATTAAAAATTACTGAACAAATATATGTTATGCTTGACATACATTATATATTATCAAACAAAAACACATTCTTCTTTTAAACTGTATCATTCTTGTTTTTACAAAAATCTTTTTTAATTTTGAACTCAAAATAATAATCTTTTTCATGATCTTTAATACACATATTCTTTATTTTTCCCTAGATCATTATACCTGCTTACGTGTTTGAATCTATTGAAGCTGAACCAACAACACTTGAAGTGGAGATTCCACAATATGAATAAAATAAACATAATTGTCCAATTTTCTTTACTACCATCCTGGGAGAATATTATTTTTATATTTATTAAAGATATTTTCAATATAATTCTCTTGATTTATAACTCGTACCCACTTTTCTTGCTCTTCCGGACACTTTAGGCTGTCTAGCATAACTATCCTTTCCACCAGGAACACAACAAAGATGAGGCATAGCACCAAAAACACACTCCACTTAAGCTTTATTGATGAATTGTTAGAGTCTTAAAAAACACACACAAAAATCACGATAAATAAAAAAATTATGGGCACTTTTAGGTTAAAGCACTTAACAAAACGTGTAATATTTCGTGTTTTTTTATGAGAAACAGAGTGACCATCATAGTAACCATATATCTGGTAGTAGTTTAAGTCACTTAAACACCAAAATAATTAGTTTTTTGCACTAAAATAACAAATAATACCAAAAATCAACCGACAAAATATGAATACAGAATCTAATCCAATATCTAAGTATGTACAGCTGATGAAGTAAACAAAAGTCCGCCCGTGGGCTGATCTTTTATAGAAGGCATTGATTCGAGGTAATCACAATAAAAAATATTTTTAACGCAACGTAGGTTCCTTTATTTCATTTAAATTGTTTGTTATACAGTTGACCAAAATAAAATATTACCTCTTCAACTTTGTTGAACGAACTTGGGTTGTTACACTACAATATCTTAGGTTAACAACCACTTTGTTTATGCATAAGTTGACCAATTTGACCATTGTCAAATGTAATTTGTTGTGCTGTCTACACTACTACGTTATAGTACCTTAAAAGTAAGTCTTAATGTCCCCGAAATGTATTTTTGTAATTTAAAACTGGTTTGAATGAGGCAAAAGCCTAAGGTTCAGGAAATACAAAATAATAGGATGATAACTTAAGGTAGGTTGGCATTTGCCTGGTTTTGCATTGGTACCTGTTTAGTTTTAATTGAAAAGTAGATGCAGTTTTTCTTAAATTACTTAAAATGAGATTCGCCAAAATTGTTCAAATTTAGCACGTGTATTCATCATACACAGACTCGAGCACAGACCTTTAAGAAATCTATTTACAACTTCATTGTAAAATTAACAGGGGGCTAATATCTGGACAGTTTAAAATTTGCATGCAATTTTCTATGTTTTCAACGACAATGCACCCCTCGGTATATTTTACCATATTTAAAAACTACGGAATTGGGTCCGTTTCACTTTAGGGCTGTCAAAATTAACAAAACAAAAAAAAAACAAAACAATTTTACAAAAAAATGCGATTTTTTGTAAAATAAGCGAGAAAAATTTTTTAACGTCAAAAATATTTTTACGCTTTTTCATAGCTTTTCGTGCAATAGTTTACGCGCAATTTCGGCAGTATTAGTTTAGTTTGCTGTTGTTATATAGTTTCATTGCCCTAATTAACTCAAACTGTACATTTACTCTATACATTTATTACAAACAAATAAAGAAAATCAATGAATATCTAAAAATCGATCGGATATTTCGCGTGCAATCTATAAATACAAAAAAACTCACAACAAAGACTAACCAACGCAATCAAAACGGAAAAAAAACACATCACCACGGAATACTCTAATTAAAGTCTTTAAATTCAAATTCTACCAATAAAATTAATATCGTATGTTCATATCGTAGGATACTGGACGCACGAAAATCCGCAATTAAAATAATAATTTTTGTAAATTATGTATCTAAAATTTACCTACTAGAACTTTCGTGGCATGACACTTGGCGGCTATAAGTACCACAATTAACGTGCAAGCGTTGCTTCCATTCGTCTTGTTATGGACATTGTAATGGGACTGGGAGAATTTCGTTTCGAACCACATCACGCTAATAGTATCATCATAAACACTTTCCAGTTCGTATTGGGGAAAGAAGGGCAACTCTAGATTGCTGGAGACCATGATTGTATCATCTAAAATTTTGATTTGTACTGATGTGGGTAGATAGGTGAGTCTTGGAAATGTTCCTTATTATTCTGGCATATTTTGAAGGTGTCAGAACACTGACGTTGATAAGTGTGTTGTTTTTAGGTAAGGTTTTCTTACCTACACTAATAGTCTAGTCAAATTGTACTCAAAAAAGCCTATTGGGAGAAAGTTTTGGGGTAGTTCCGATTTCTTCTATTAATTACGTTTTTTGGGCTGCTCTATTCAAAATTAAAGTACCGGGTGACCAACTAAGGGTACGAACATAGTGGAGGCAGGTTTCTGCTTTCCGGCAACCAGCGCCGTCTCTGGGTACCTGTTCTTGACCACTCGCATTTTCAAATATCGCTCGCATCTCGCATCTCCTAAAAAGCCATATAACAATACACAGATGCGTAACTTTGCGTATATGCATCACGTGTATTGTATATGGCTATTTCGGAGATGCGAAATGGGTTCGGAAGTAGATAATTAAGAGGAAATTTACCTGATTAACTAACCTAACCTAACTAAACCATATTTTATTCTCGCCGGGGCCGCACATAGATGTATTTCATCTATAAACCTACTAAAAGTGATATTTTTTATTTTCATTTTTATCTTAACTGAATACAAATCTATAAATACTAAATGGAAGCACGTTTATTAGTTATTAGCTTTTTTAAGTCGTATGTTGACTATCAAATAAATAATATATTTCAGTTAGAAGTATGAATTATCTTGAGTGTATTCTGAATAATTTTCTAAGATTATAAAAATAGTGGAATTGTTTGTAGTGCTTTTTTTTTTGCAAAATTGTTCATAATAACTGTCATGATGGATACAGAACCAGCTTTGTTTGTTTGCTCTGTTCTGTTTTATGCCATATTTTTATTTTGGAACGTTTCCTTCTATTCTATTTCTTTATAATGTTTTATATTTAAAAAATCAGAGGCATTTTTTATAAGGTGTAAGACTATTCGGCAATATTCCGCATGGAAATTAGTATCCGTTCAATGCATAAAGTATAAAGTCTCCAGCATTGGAATATGTACAAAAATCTTTCCAATATTTGCCACTGCCAAAAAAAACATTGATTTAAATAGATTCTTAAAGGAAATAGTCTTTACCCTGTTAACACCCATCCTCGCTCAAATATCGTCTATAATATACAAATTACTTTCTTGTTCTGTTAGTCGGGAACTATTGTGAACTAAGGACCTAGTTCAAGGAACTATTGCTCTGGAGGAACTAGAACTAAGGAACTAGAATTCCCACCTCTAATCGAGATCTACCACCACTTAAAATACTTGCACTTATTTCTGGGATACCCTGTTTATAACAATACACGTGATGCGTATACGCAAAGTTGCCCGGAACGATGTCAAGAATAGAAAATCAGATTGACGCCGACTACCGGTAAGCAGCAAACCTGCTTTGCACTGTGTTCGCACCAAGAATGCTGTATCTCAGGAAACCATTTTCGTATAACTTTGAGAAAAAAATTCTAATAAGTAAATCAGATCAAGAGAAATCGCTGGAAATTATTTGAAGTTTCGAAAAATGTCCGCTAGGGACGTTTCTCTGATAACCAATCAGAAAACAGGGTTTTTCTCAAAAATATGCAGGTGAACAGGTATTTTAAATATTACTATGGTAATTATCGAGAAATTTGTAATTTTTTTGATATAGAGGCTTTTGCTCAATCTCATAAAATAAAGTGGTGGGGGAAGGTTAAACTTGCTTTTATTAAAATAAGGATAACTCTGGTTTGGGTTAGCCGATTTAAACGAACTAGGGCTCGTTTAAAAGAGCTTTTCTTCCTTAATGATCTTCAGTATAAATTTTGTTTCCATAAATATTTTCGTGGTAGCTAGGGGCGCTGTTTAACATCATAACAGATATTGCGCTTTCGTTTAACAGACAGAAACTTTTCAGATTTGGTATTGATTTTGTGTTTTTCATTATTTCTTCGACTCTGTTTTGTTATACTTTGTTACTTTGCTTTCTCTTGTTTTTTTAACTCAACCTGCTGTTTTACTTCTGCTTTGTCTTCAAGTATTTTTTTATATGGCGCAGAAGTTAATATTTCGCTTTTTTCTCCTTTCCTTTTCCTTAAAATTATTTTTCTCTGTAGATCATCAGTAACTGGAGAAATCAGACTGATGGCATTTTGGAAGGCTGTTGCTGTGGAGGGAATTGCCTCATAGTCGACTGACTGAAAGAAGTTCATTGTTTTGTCGGTAAATGTGGAGATTTCTACTTTTTTCCCACTTTTTTCATTGTTAACTTCAGGTATGGCGGGAATCAACCCATCAATGATTGAAGATGAAATATTTGTATCTTTATTAGGAGATTGGGGCGTCAAACTTAGGTAAAACTTCAACAGAAGAAGTTAGTTAGAAGTTTGTTGGATTTGATTTGTAGAAGCGGGAGGGAACTATTTTGTCAAATGAAGACTGGTTTTAGAGATCCGGAGTTTAAGCTAGTAGAAGGGGTTAGTGGAATGATTTTTAGGTTCATGGTTCTCTTTGGTTGTCGGCTTCTAATGATTCATAGTGTTCGAAGCAGGAAGAAAATCTAGTTCTGTAAAGATATTTTTGTTTAAGGGATATATCCTGTTTCATTGAAATGCAGATTGTGCCAATTCCATTCTACTAACTTAGAAAATGCGCTTGTAACTAAATCACTGATTTCTTGAACATGCTATTTTAAGCCTAGTCTTCCGTATTTGTTTCATCCAGACCTCACATGTTGCATTAAATGCACCTTTAAACGGTTTCATAATGCTCTGTCCAAAAGGATGCAGTTGGATTGGGTCGTGTGAGTGCAAACTTAGCATGTGACTGTGGTGTGCTTTTTGTTGTAAAATAACTTGGTAGATCCTTATGTGTGCTTATAGCCGTCCAATATTAAAAAGAATTGGGTTTCCTCAGTCGGATTAACTCCGATCCACGAATGCATTTAACCATTTTAAAATCCTTGGACGGTATTCTCCATCCACTTGGATGAGCGAGGCCAAAAATGCTTCCCAATCGGTGCATCTTTCGTAAGTTTAACATCCATTCTTTCCCTTAGAAAACAAATAAAGGTGGTATAAATTGGTCTCCCTGCAGCATTTAAACAAAGCATTATTGTTATATTTTTCCCTCTTTCACCAGATGTTAGTTTGCTTGACCTTTGTTTTTTTCCCTTTAATACAAACTTTTAGTGCGTTAGAATGTACCACAGACACGCCGGTTTCATCGCAGTTAAAAATCCTACTTGGGGAAAAAGGATTATTTCTTCATCAGGTTCTCCAGCTTCGCCAAAAAAGGCCTCCACTTTGTTGCTTGTTAAATCCTTTGCGCTCTCTGGAAGCGGCTAGTTGATTGAGCAGAACGCAACGAAAATTCTGGATGCCGGTTTTATAAACCCAATGATAAAATTTATTTCCTGCTGTCTTTTTGTTTTTACTAAATTGATGCTGTAATCAGAAATGCTCAACGAGATCATATACTAACTTTAAAAATACCTTTTGTTGACTGGTAAAAACGATTATTCAAATCCTTAAGTTGTCCCACTAGTTCATTTTTAAGTCAACATTAAATGTATTTTCAATCTTTCCTAATGTAGGTATCATTTAACGGCATTTCCTTTTCGGAGAGTCGTGACCCTGTCTCTAAAAAGAACTTTTTAGAACAGAGAAGTGGAACGCTGCCTCCCCTAATGCTATTTCCATGACAGTATACATGGTCCTGGCCTTTTCATGCTCGTTTCATCCCACTTTCCCTTTTGTTTGTTTGGCATGATTAATATGCCTGAAAGAAACAAATAATAGTAGTACTGACGGCTATAATCTGCCTATCACGATCAAAATTTTTTGTCCGGTACTGGGCAATGTACGGGTGTCCGATACTGGGGAAATGTCAGCGAAAAAATAAAATACGCATTGAACATAACCTAGAAATAATTTCGTCCGTTTGCGCATGTGGTTTATAGTCTCCAATAATGTAAGTTGTTATATGGCAACTACTAAACTTATTCGTGAAACACTAAACGTGGTTGCAAAGGGTCTAAAGTTCGAGTGGAATCTTGAAAACACCCACGTAAACACTTAATCACAAATATCTCCACAACGACATGAACTAAAGGAAATGGCGCGAAATGTGTAACGTACATATAGCGTTTTAACTGATTTTAATAGGGAGTTACAGCCAATTCATATAGAAACCAGAAAATCAAAAGTGTCCGGTACTGGGAACTGTCCGGCGCTGGGGCAATCTCCCCTAACATTAACACACATCACAAAACGTATTTACGTTTAAAAATTTATGACGTAATTTTTTTTAAGAAAACGCCCAAAATTCAGATGCATGAAAACTGAACTTAAACGTTTTGATATTTTGACGTAACCAATTTACCTCTTTTTGTTTCCTAGCCTACTATATACTATAATTCTTAGACTATATAGCCACTAAGAGGCAGCCTAACATGATTTGTTCTCTTAATATTTCCGATTAGAGAGAAGATAGAAAGTTGCGGTTTACGCGGATATTTTGGAAATTTTGCGCTCTATTTAACTGTGCGAAAAGAAATATAGCCTCCTATTTAATTTTTTTATGCAAAAGCGCAATATCTGTTATGATGTCAAACACCGCCCTCTAGCTACCACGAAAATTATGGAAACAAAATTGATACTGGAGATCATTAAGGAAGAAAAGCTCTTTTAAACGAGCCCTAGTTTGTTTAAATCGCGTAACCTAAACCAGAGTTATCCTTATTTTAATAAAAGCAAGTTTAACCTTCCCCCACCACTTTATTTTATGAAATAGAGCAAAATACTCTATATCAAAAAAAATACAAATTTCTCAATGATTACAATAGTAATATTTAAAATACCTGTTCACCTGCATATTTTTGAGGAAAACCCTGTTTTCTGATTGGCTATCAGAGAAACGCCCACTAGCGGACATTTTTCGAACTTGAAAATAATTTACAGCGGTTTCTCTTGGTCGATTTACTTATTAGATTTTTCCTAGAGTTATACGATAAGTAGTTTCTGAGATACAGCCGGCGTCCATTCTTAGGGTACGAACATAGTGGAGGCAGGTTTCTGCTTTCCGGCAACCAGCGCCGTCTCTGGGGACCTATTCTTGACCACTCGCATCTTCAAATATCGCTCGCATCTCGCCTCTCCGAAATAGCCATATACAATACACGTGATGCATATACGCAAAGTTACGCATCTGTGTATTGTTATATAACTTTTAGAAGATGCGGGCTGCAACATTGAAAGAATGATGCATCATTAGAACTGGCGCTAATTACCAGCGAAAACCTACCTCCCTATTCGCTCCCTATAATTAACCCTACTTACAATTTCCTATAATATTTGTTATTTAAGTTTTTTTCTCTGAGAAGAATTGTTCGGACTCAACAGCCAGTTGAAAATTAGCGGTTTTGGTTCTTTCCGCAAATACCTACTTTTGTACTCCAAACTTTTTAATTTATTATTATCTAAAGCATTATCTAAAAGTCTAGAACATTTTTTAGTTTTAAATTAAATGTCCTTATTATGACAATTATGCCAGCTCTTTGAATGAAGTAGCAGCACGACAATAAAAAATCAAAGTTAATATTGAATGATAGCAAAATCAATGCCCAAAGTCCAAACCGCTATTAAAACAATTCTTTATTTGTGACCGGTTTTGGCTGTTCCAGCCATCACCGCTAATCGTGTCGTCTACGGTAGCCTTTACATCATTTTATTTACCAAATGATTACCATTCTTAAAATCTCCCACTTATCGTACGAATATGCGCAATGATCTGTTGTTACGAACTTAAGAGTTATAAATATTTAATATGCTTTAGTTGCCCTCTAAGCAAGTGAACATGGAGAGTGTTAAAATTCTTTTACTTGCGGCGATCGCGTTGTTCAACTTGACCGGCAAAACCGAATCAGCAACTGGTGCCTCAGACAACAAAATCATCTGCTACTACAACAGTCATTCGTATCACAGGCAAGGTTCGTATTCATTTTCATCACACTTTCTTTTAAACTTAATTATCAAAACTATACTTAAGACATTTGAATGCTGAATTTTGAAATATAATTTCTTGGATTGACATTGTCTTTTAAGTAAAGTCATTGTCTACCGAGTAAAGACTTTTCAGTTTTAACTTGTTAACTACTTAAGCGATAACGTCGCATAAAATTCAAAATTGAAGACAATTGCCAGTACAAGTCAATTTTATTTATAGTATTTCCAAACTATAGGAATTTTTGATATACAGGATGAATCACTGTTAGAAAAATAATCTATGTTTTCTATCCGAGTACAGACTGTTTTTCACTCCAATCTTTTCTGTAAACTAGATCGTCAATGGTAGTGTATATTTTAAAAATATAGATGTACAGGGTGTCTCATTTTCGTGTGTTTATGGGGTTTCTCGTTTATGGGTAGAAATACACAAAATGCAGTTTTCACATTACTGCGCTATTTTCTTATGAAACTAAAGATGCAATACATATATTTATCCTAGACCTCTTAGTTCCAGAAATACAGGGCATATTTGAAATTGTTGCATTTTTCGACTCCCCTCGTATCAATAGTACACAGATTAGGGTAATATTAGATTATCTACTTGTTGACGACTACTGATATAGGAATTTTCTTCGACATACAGTAAAGTTTTTTTTTCTCGTAGTAATTCTGGTTTATAATAATTATAATATACTACTAATATTACTACTGCCGCAAAACCGTCCCATTACACACTGAAGATAATATAATATAATATAATATAATATAATATATGAAAATAGTTTTCTACATAATCTACATATATATTCTTATAGTACTTTACAAAGTACTATATAATATATAGTACGGAACGAAAAAATATCTTTTTCTTGGCTTGTTCGTGTATATCAGTCACATTGACTAATTCATTTTCAGGTAAATCTGTTACTAATTATGTCTGCCATTTATACTTATTTCAACAAATTAAACTAAAATTCAAGTTTTGTTCTTAACTTGCTTAATAGACATATGAAATTTTGATCATTATTACTTTTTTTCATGGTAACTATGAAATTATAACGTAATTGTATTAAAAATATGGGTAAAAATAGAAAAAGTTGGAATAAATTGCAAACTATTAAAAATAGATATATGACATACTTAATAAAAGAATGAAATGAAGAGTTTTGTAAAATCTATCAGAAAACATGATAATATATAGGATGTACCATTTAAAAAAATTGAATTTCTTAATTTTAATTGGTAGTTGAAATTCATAAATATATTTTGAACATCCTGTAGCATCTAACTAAATTATCTTTACATGCCTCTTTTTCTATATCTCTATAAAATTATCCTACCAAATTTGAGTTGTCCAACTTCAGAAACAATGTCATCACTGACAATTTTTTACCACATTGCAATTTTAACATTTGTTTAAACAAATTTAAAGATTACAAAAACTATTAACTTTAGATATATGTTTAACATTATAATATATAAAAAAGTTTTAAGGAATTTTACGCAAAATCTAAAAATCAAATAAAAAATAGGGTGTTTCATTTAAAAAAAACATATGTTATATTCGCCACACTTTTTTGAACCACCCTGTATACTCTATAATAATTTTAAAATGTGTATCTTAAGCGTCCCTAAAACTTTTATATATAATATTTTTTGTAAACCTCGAAACAAATGAGATAATGGACTTTACTCTATCGTTGACTCACCCTGTACATTTCGGAAGTACATTATACATTTTAGCCGACACGAACATCAAATTTCCACTACCAATAAAAAAAATATCGACTTATAAAAAAACATAATTTTGAGTCATATTTCGAAAATGACAGCTTCCAGTGAAACACTAATTACGTTGATTCTAGGTGAGAAACTCTCTGGAACACAGTTTTCACCTTTTTGATAAGTTATAAGTTAACCATATATTCTTCAAATTTATGAAGATAACCAAGATACGGAGGGGGTCGATAAATGCAACATTTTCAAATTCTCCCTGTATATTAGGGACTAAAAATGCTAGGATACATTTCCCTGTAACATCTTTAGTATCATAAAAAATTACCACAGTGATGTGAAAATCGCAACTTTAGATCTCTACCGTATGGATAAATACCATATAACACGAAAATGGGATTGTACAGGGTGATTCAGATATATTTTTACACTAAGTTTGAGTTTTTGAATGTATATACAGGGTGGCGCCTCTCATACGCCGCGGAGGCTCCAAGAAGAACGACAGTTCAATAATATTTTGAAGATATATAAATTCCCCACTGAACACCGGAAAAATATACTGGGTGTTCTATTTAAACTAAAGGAGTAACTTGCTTTTAAAAGTGACTAATGTTCCATATTAATTTTGTCTCACCCTCTATAACTTTTCGGGTCACATTTCAATTTGGTTTAACATACAATGGTTACTGTAATTAAATACCAGGCTATGCAATGTCAACAAAAATTTAGGTAGCTATTATCGAAATTTAAAATTTACTCTTCATTTTCACAAAATGTGAAATATGTCAAAATCCATAGATTTTAGGTATATGCTTCTTTAATAAAACTAGCCTTTATTTTTTCCTACAATCCGAAAATCAATTAATATAAAGGGTGTTCCATTAGAAAAAACACAACTTTGATGTGTACCTTTTCTTTGGGACACCCTGTATAATTCTATATATTTTTGTAAAATGCTTTCAGTTACACATGCTGTCAAAATTTCATTTCGATACCTACTACTGTTCTCCTTGAAACTTCCGTGGCGTATGAGAGGCGCCACCCTGTATTTTTATCGCCCAATGATATTTAGAAACACACTGTATAAAGAAACTTAACAACTGATTTAAATATTAGATAGCTTTATTTTATAATTTTCTTTAAATACTACAAATCAAGTAAACCATAATTGTGTTGATTTATTTTCCTGTAATCAACAACGACAAACTTATTCATCTCAGAATGCATATAAATTTTAAATTACAGGTAATTCTTATAAATCCATAAAAAAATAATACGTTTATGTAGATCGGGGTCTTCTAGTTCTGAATAAAATAAATAAATTTAATTTTTGTCAAGGTAATCTTGTCAGTTGCTTATGTATTAATACACTTTCATCTGCGGAGAAAATATGTAAATTTTATGTATTTTACATTGTTTTGAATATTACTAAAACGTGTCTCTATACCGGGTGCGTCTCGAACAACCCTATAACTTTTGGTTTGGGTTGGTCCCCATAACTTTTTTATTTTTTCAAATAACAAAACGAGATTTGGTACGCTAGTATATGACATAAATTAGGATTGATTGACGTATTCAATAGTTTTTGGTTCACTTCCTATTTCACCGGAAATTACTACAACATTTGATTTTTAAATGGCACTTATTTCCACTCTATTCGATAAAAAACGACACCCTGAAAAGAATGACATATCATATGTCAACTTCTGACATTTTCGCTCAAGAAATCGTATTTTAAATTTCAATCTAGAGTGCCATGGTTGTGTAAAAAACACTAATTTTTAATTAAGGAGCCTCGGAAAATAGACTTGATCGTCTAATGTTTTTCATGTCTTGTCCTGGCCAGTTAAAAGATGCTCAAATCGTATTTTTTATCATATCTCAATTTTTTCAAATCGAACAAGTGTGGTTCATTAGCATATTTGAAAAAGTATTTTTTACGAATAATTTGGTACCACACACTTGGTATTTCGAGTCAAATTGTGGTTATGAATTGCATGTTATAATTTCGAATAAATCATATGTGAAAGTATCAATAGTTGACATATGATATAATATATCATTTTATTCAGAGTGTAATTTTTTTTCGAATAAAGTAAAAAATTACCGAGGGTGTCATTTCCGGTGAAACAGGAAGTGAACCAAAAACAATTGTATACGTCAATCAATCCTAATTTATGTCCTATACTAACAAGCCAAAATTCGTTTTTTTATCTGAAAAAATAAAAAAGTTACACCCCTATAACCAAACCAAAACCAAACCAAGCCACTTTTGAGAATCACCAGGTATACATTGCTAGTAACGTTAAACAATTAAAATATTATTATATATAGCAAGATTTGTAATTACTTTCAATACTAACTAGATGTTTTCTGGTTTTTGTTCCTCTAAATTTGATCTCTATATTAGCGAGATCTTATATTTTTTATGGAACTTTAAGAATTGAATCAGCTAAGAAATCTACTAAAAATAAATGTTATTTTTACGCGATGAATCTTCCCACGAGAGATGGCACAGGTTTTTGAAACACCCTGTATAAGAATGTTATTAAGCATAAGCAACATTTATTCGATTAATTTATCTTCGTAGACGAGAAACAAGATTAAAATGCGTACTGACATAATTTCAGTTAATAGAAGAACGATTAATCTACTTGTTTATATTAATTAATATTATTCCAATTTTATTTCAAAGAATTATAGAATAATATTTATAGTGAAATAAGAAAAGAATTAATAATAAAATGATTTTATTTTGTATTTTACTTTTCTATTTCTAAAGGTGTCACGAGACTAGGTATCCCCTAAAAAGAATCTTTTTGTTGTAGAAAAATATTTTTTCTTGGCAGATAATGATCTGCCATTTTTTGAATTTCGGCAACTAGACTTTTATAGGATTATAGCCTAGTTTTCATGCATCCAAATGTTATCCTACAAATTTCTTAGTTAATAATGAAAACGTCCGAAATTCGTCGCACGTTTTAATCTAACAGCTAGCAACATAAAATTAGCCGAGAAATGTGTAAGATAATATTTGAACGTATAAAAACCTTAAATTCGAACTTTTTAAAATCTATAACATAATTTTTTTCACATAAAAAAGTTTCTCAAAAGTGGCTTACCCCTATCATTTTTATATTTTATTCAGATAAAAAAACGAGATTTGCTATATGAATATATGACATAAATTATGATTGACTGAGTTAGTTTAATTGACTCAATTATTTTCGGTCACTTCTTGTTTCAC